AAAGTAACAGGAAAATCTTTCCCTTGTTGAGCAATATTTTTATTTCCAGAGAAATTTGTTTAATTTTCTTAAAACCTATTTAAACCTGGAAAGTAGTGACTACATCTTCATTTACTTTAGGTATTTAATAACTTTCAAGAGCCTTTTGTCTTAACTCAGACGCATTTACTTCTTCTTTGAAAAATGCAAGAAGTGGGTTCCATCGGTCTAGCATTCTAGATAAACATTTCTTTAAAAATAGCCAGCATGTACATAGAGATTTCAAATATTTTTTATTTTAGTACTATGTAACTATTGGAATTGTTTCAATTTTTCCTTTCTTTTACACTCCTTTCAAGATAATAACAAATATCAACAATGCGTTCATCCACACTTATTGATAGAGAAGCTGCCCCTTTCTCAGCTGCTAAATTTATGAGGTGACTTTGTAATTTGCAAATCTGAATTTTCCTTTTCTAAGATGCCTGCAAAACCAGCCTTCAAGCCTAAAATTACTAGTGCATTATCGGCATCAATTGCCAAGCAATTATCCACAGGGTTAGTCTTTTAAGTTTTAATAATTAGTTGTGGCTAATTATTAAAATATTAAAGCCTAAGTGAATTAAGTGTAACTATTAATATTAAAGCCTAAGTGGGATCAGAAAGTAAAATAAACTCAGTTTCTGAAGACACTGGATTAAGAAAAGAAACAACAATCGGACACAGTTTTGAAATGGTACATTTGCTTCCAACCATAGAGAGACAGAATGGAACTGTTTTAATGCAATCAATAACGGAAGATTTATTTTTAATACCTGTTTTTGTAACAACTGCAGCCATTTTGGTCCTTGCACTTGAGTATTTCTTAGTGATTTTGCTACTGAAAAACGTTTTTCTAAACAAAGCTGCAGCATTATCCAATGCATTCAATGACAGGTTGCGCTCCAGTAAAAAGGCAGAAAACAGGACATTCTACATTAATAACTCTTTGGTCATTTGTTTCCACAGAAAAATTTAATTTTTTGTTCTTACTTCCTTGTACGAAGTAAAGGCGAAAATTTTCAGGTGTCATATTTCAACGAAAATATCCATTTTGACCATTACTGAATGCATTTTAATGATGTTTTTGCATGAAATCTGTATGAAATGGCAGAATTAAGGGCTCTTTTTGCCCCAAACGGGTTGCGAAAGGGATTTAAAATGAACTCAAAACAGATTTTTTTCATGATATCTGTATGTACATACATATGTACGTATCTCGCATAACTCAAAAACGAGTAGCCTCAGAACACTGAAATTTTGTGCAAGGGCTGCTATAATATGCAGTTGGGCACTTCCCTTTTTGGTTGCAATCGGCGGCATCAAAAGTATATAAATATATATACCCACTCTGTTACTCGGCTCCATAAGTTCAGTTTTTTTTTTTTTTTTTAAATTCTTATATGTTGGTAAATTGTGTATATTTCGCTTTAAAAATGATTGAATTAGAATTATGTTGTTCCAGTTAAGGTTTTTATGCGTTTAGTTAATCTGCATGCAACAGTTGTAGAATTATCAACAATTTAAAAGTTGTTTAAGTGGGGCTAAGCCTAATCTTTTTTACCATAGTAGCCATATTTGTTTGTGAATTAGGTCAGTTTCTGCACCTTCAGTGTCTTTCTGCTGAGCGAGACCAAAAGTAAACTTTTATTTTTGTGCACCGAACAACTTATTTTTGTGCAACACCTTCTTGCTCGCCAGCCGAATTGCTTGTTTTTCTGTAGAAGCTCTAATTTTAATTGTAAAAAAGTTTCTTTTTTTCTTTTTTTTAATTGTGTTAACTGCATTTGTTGTTTTATATTTTTCAATTTTTAATAAAGATATTTTGAGGTTTTATGTATCTTTGTCTTGTCGCGAAGTAAGAACTGAATTAATTGAATGAGAAATATATCAGTAATAAAATTTGAGGAAATAAGTATATATTAAATGAAGCAAAAATGCAAATTTAATATTCCATACAAAGAAGTCATGTGGTATATATATCAGATTTTTTTCAATAGAACTAATGTCGTTCTTGTATTTTTGTGTACGGACATCTTTGAGAACATTGGCTCTTTCACTGTGCGAAATAAACAAATAGCAGTGAAAAATGGTACACATTGTAAATGTATTACATTTCCTTGAGGAAATAATTGAAAAGACATCTGTGCACAATATTTGAAAAGCACATGAGCATTTTACTATTTTTGAATACATAACTGAAACAAATGATCTGATTTCTTAAACTATTTCTCTAAAGCACACGCACTCACACTGCTTTCAGCAACAAGATAAACAAACTAGCAACCTCGATCTTGCTTTGTGCTCATTGGATAATGCTAGGTGATATGCAGTGGCACTCAATGCTCATTGAACAGGAATATTACGTTTTGGGACACATGTGCTTTCACTCACAAAGCAGAAGGCCACCATAATTTCTCACTGATGAAATGTTTTTGGTTTTATTTTACAATTTGCAATTAATGTATAGAAAAAACAAGTGCTTTGAGACAGCTGAAATTACTTTTTTTGGAGCAAATAACAAAGTGTCAAGCCAACCCAGACAGTATAGTGGCTAGGTGAACCAAAGGTGGTACCGAAAAGCCCGGATTCCCGGAGAAGGCATGGATATTTGTAAATGTATAGTGTCTTTGCAACATGAGGGTAACACATGGTGAGCCGAAAGTCCTCTTGTGTGGTTTAATACTCAAGGAGAGGGGCGGGAGACCCTCAGACTACCGCCTGGGATGCTCTTCCTCAAAATTGGTGTGGTTGTAGATGTCCAACCTCCTTGAGGATCTGGCAACCCTTCTTCCATGAATCACATGGACAAGACAACAAGAACGACAGCAAGCCAAACTACATAAAAATCGTGATAAATTTTAAGAATAAGAGAAAGTTGGGAGAATTATATTATAGATTGGGCTGGAGGAAGGACGGTTGAAAATCTGGAGTCTCCTATCTAAATCGGAAGAGTTGGGAACTCTGCAAGTGTTTCTGTTCCCAGGACTTCAATCCAAGAAAAAATTAGGAATTTTCAGCAATTTTCCTACTCAGCCACTGATTGCCATGCTACTAAGGGTCTGTAAATTACATAAAAAGAAATGTCTCAAAACATTTAATTTAAACCTGCTACAGGCTTAATTAAAAATTAAATCAGAATTAATTAAAAAACGATTTTTTAATGATTAATTCTGGTTCTCATTTTTATAAGCCAAATTAATTAGCTAAAATATTAATTATGAATGCTGCATTTATCGGGGGGGGGGGAGGAAGAAAGATTTGTTTCAAATTGTAACTGTTGCCCAAAAGAGTTTCAAATTGTAACTGTTGCCCAAAAGAGTACAAACAGCAAAATTACAAAAATTTTAAAAAGAGCATAACAGTATGCATTTAGCATCCCTGATGCAGCGTTAAGTGTTAGCATACATTTTTCTGTTTTTTTTTTCAATCTTTCTTAGTTCATCATTATCAATGTTGAGTTTTCTTACTAAGATGGGTTTACAAAATGCTTTTCTCTGTCTTTTCATAATTATGTTTTGTGTGTTTACTTTATTTATTAAATATCATGTTCCTGGCACTTACAGCACATAAAATTTTATTCAACAGCAAAATCACAAAATATTTATAAACAGCATTTCTTTAGAATTTCTGATAGAAAGTCTTGCATGCTGGAAATAAAAATGTTTCTGCCCCCTTACAGTGTTGCCAGTGCTCTATTTCAAATCATTGATTTTGTTGATCAAGAATTTGTTAAAATTTTATAAACTTTGAAATAGATATTAAAACAAATTCAAAATTCGGACTTCCAAGTGCAATTGTTTCAAGTTCAATTCAGATAAGTGCCCAAGTTTGGGTGGAGGACTATCTTATTCAAAATGTGATGGCTCATTCAAAATGTGATACTGTTACTTTTTTACAATGTAAGAAACATGCACATATTCATGCAGATTCTTTTTTTATTTAATTTTTTTAGATGTAATACAAGGTGATAATATTTATTGGCAACAATTTGAAAAGTGATATGCTGTTTATAGTGATTCCATGGAAAATGCCATTTCGAGACTAATACCTCATTCGGGACTAATCCTCCTTTTGGGCTAAAAATAACATTTCTGTTTGTAGGCACAGACGACTCTTTCCTGTTTGAATTTTTTAATGTGTTTCATATTTAAAATGAAATTCTACAAATATTAAGATTTTTCTGATTAAGGAAGCATATTGAGAGACATAGTTATATTCATTTCTAGTTTACTTGAAATAATTTATACTGTATGGGAAACGTCTGATTACTCTGGTAAGTTGGTACTTCAGTCATGCCAGATAATTGGTTTAAAGTTGTATATTGCTGAAAAGTGATACTTTTTCTTGTTGTTGAATGTGGTGAGGAGCAAGAAAATATCAAATAGCTCACTCACATTAGGCACCAGAAACTCTTGTGTAAAGAAAAGGTAAATGGAAAGTAAATGAAATTAAATTTTAACATACTTATATGAGTGAAAAATAACAGTAAATCACAAGAGAGGTTAGAAATGACTTTCTCCAACTTTTAAACACAGTTCAACTGAATGTTGCAAGTTATGAATCTGCCTATCAGAACTTCAGGTGTTACTGCTTGGATGGGTCTAGGGTATGTGATTTATGACTGCAGACTTTCATTTAAGATTACCTCACAGAAAAAAGTCAGGTGGTATAAAATCCAGTGACTTTAGAGCCATAATCTTTCACACCAACTTTTTCATAAAATGGATTGTCTTCTATCCACATTTGATCATATTTGGAGAAATATTTATGCAATGATGTGAAAATTTCTGGGTCCTCTTTTGACGAGTAGGCAGTAAGGCACATATTAATTTTCAAAATATATTAGTAAATCAATTTATTCACAGTTTAGCTATTTTTAATCAGTTTTTACTTTGAAATCATCATTACTGCTAACGATGAATGCTTTTTAAATGAAGTTCAACTGTCTAGCTGCTTTATAGATGCTGCTCTTAAAAAAATAACTGTAGAGGTAATGTTTATTATTTCTCCAATATACAATTTTTTCCTACTATTCCTTTAATACTATTCAGCTTTTGGTGAATACTTAAAGTCACATGTTTTTATTCTATTCCCTTATAAAGGTTTGAAGACATTTTAAATAAAAAAAGAAAGCAAGTTATATATAGACATGAAATTTCAAACAAAGAAATAAAGGAAATAGCAAAAACATGTGAAGCAACTGCTGAACCTTACTGAATATTACTAATGCTAATAGTATCACATCTTATATAAGAATATTGGTGAAAAGAATGCCAAATTACAAAGTGTGCCAAAACCACTGGATGCCAGATTATCAGACTTTTACTGTATTCACAAACACACTGAATTAATAAACTGAATCATAAAATAATTTTAAACCTTTTGAATTAATTAAGACAGTTTTAATTAGTTCATTGTACAATATTTGTTAAATTTTATTCATGGAAACATTTTACTTTCTGATTCACCAAATATTCTTATTATTATTAAGATATGAATTTTTAAGTCTAATTCAGTATTAAATTATTTTTTAGGTTGCAGATACTAACATTTGTTTGATGTGAAAAAACACTGATTAATTATACAGGTAAACTACAGTACACAAAGACAACATTACTGTTACATATTTAGCAATAATCAAATAATGATAATTAATTTTGATTCACCTCCTATATACTTTAGGAAAACCTGAGTAACTGCAGCAGATACAGACTGGCAGAAAAATGTAGAACAATACACAAAAGATAAACCACAAAGCCCATGGCATACAAACAGGAGGAGTAAACGACCTGCAAATGAAATACAAATTAAAATATTTATTATTTAAGGAAAACATACACAAACGAAATGGAATTTTAAAAATTTATATTTTAAGCAAATTAAAAATACATAGTTTTCAAATTTATGCTTTTCTAGCCGGATGTTAGATCTACTCAATATAGTTTTATCAATCTGCATGCTTTTGGGTGATGCTTGGCATTAATAGACTATATCAAACCAAGCTCAATACACACATCCTGTTACATCATTTCATAACACTTTTTATATATTTTCACGAGGTTGTCCATAGTGATACTTAACTTCAGTGTTCTGTCAGATTATAACCTTTATAGATAATTAATGAGTTTGTAATAAGCTGTACTAACAAATTAAATTTTTACTTTGGTATGTCCTGTGATTGTCTTTTTTTAAGCACAAGATTCTAAAGGTATGCTAATTTAATGCTATTTATTACTGTTTCTTGGATCTGAAGCCTGTACTTTTGAATTAAAATTAATTAGATTATTTAATTATAGGAAAAATACTAGGGCTATTAAGGTAGGTATCACTACTTTCTGTGAAGACAATCCTACCAGCCAAATAAGGCATGTTTTCACAAGAGACCTTTTAAGGGGAAACATCCTAAAATTATTTTATACATAAGACGATAGAAAAGTCATGCCCAAAAGTGTAGACAGTTGTTCAATAATGCTGAATAGAAGTTAGAAAGAACTGTAATTGTTTTGTAGTTTCATATTCTTATACCTTGTTTGATATCTGAAATTATGATGCTTTATTTAAAATTATTTACTTTACTATTATTATTTTTGCATAATATTCTGAACTTTTCAGAGAAGCAGGAAAGTTTATCACATATGTTAATCTCAGTTAGAAACAAAAAATTGCATTTCATGGATAATTTATACTATTTGATTAGGAAAGTACTAAAAGAAGTTAGGCAGCGTCATTAGCTGATATCACGAAAAATGAACTTTTCTCTGAAATAAACTGGATCTCAAAAGTCTTAGCTTATCCTTCAAGAATAGAATATTTATACCACCAAAAGTACCAATGATGAATTTTTTTCAGAATGAATAAAATAAAAATAAAGATAAGAAATAGGTTAGATGAAAGTGACACATTGTATAGGTGGTGTGGTATGGTGTATTTAATTATGGCAAAGCACACTAGGGCTATCTGCCTAAGGGGAGGGATGCCTTTCGTGGAGGACTTTCTAAGGGAAACTGGCTCGTATACATGTTACACATGGGGAAAACCACGAAAATGCCCATGCAGCCAGCCCGTTCGCGGGATTCGAACCTCGGACCGAACTACCAGTGTGCAGCGACTTTACCGCTCAGCCGCTGGTGGGCCACATTGTATAGGAAATTGCATAGTAAATGTATACAAATTCATTTGAAAATATTGCCTTTTTTTTTTTTTTCTTTTTCCATAAGCAGTATTAATGCAAATGCTATCCATCAAGCTTGGGGGAGGGGGAATTGAATTCAGTTTATCTGTTTTACACTTCAAAAAAAAAAAAAAAAAAAAAAAAAAAAAAAAAAAAAAAAAAGTTAAATTCAGCATAATCAAAATGCTTATCTCTTTAGACAATATTATGTGTAAGATAAAAATTATAAAAGCAAACTTCTAAATTTGATAGGCTATAACTTCTTTTATTTTTATTTAATTTGGAGTCTTACTGTATTCACAAACACATCCATCTATCTTAAAAATAGCCCTATAAGTCTAAACTGCGTCATTCAAATTAATCATGCGATTAAGTAACATTTAATGCCGATACCTCTTGCCCAATCATACAATTGTAAACCAAAACTTTTTAAAACCGGAAGTGAAACTTTTCGACTCCCTCCCTTCTTCCTCTGAAGTATTGCGACACTCTTCCCTTTTTGCTTATGCTTTCATCCTGTTAAGACGCTGCTGCAATCCTCTATGTTCGCTTCTTTTGCCATAGTATCAAAATTGTTCTGGAAATAGGCAGGATTCGAATGCCAAGTGAATTGTGGCCACAAATGTGAATATAAATAAAAAAGGAAATTAATCTGGCTCAACTTATTCCTCTTTAATGTGGATCAAGTTTCTTCACTACACTTCTATTACACCACCACCAAATTTCAAATCATTTTATTTAGTTGATCAGGATGTGTATCTGTGTTTCAACACTCAAATCGAAAAATTTATTTGGTCAGTTCTAATTATGAAGAAATCTACATGGCTTTGCCATTCTATGTTCACAATGAATCATGGGCAAAGTCCTGTTTCGCCGAAAATTTTAATGCAAGTTTGTGCCACATTTATTATTAGATCTTTTGTTTCATCTCAGAGCCTACAGGGATGTCTGGAGTGCATGGAACTCCCAATGCAGAGTTTATTCAATTAACCTATCATTGTTTAAATAATGGATAAAATAAAAAGAAAGTGTTCAGTTCTACCAGAATTACAAATCAGGCCAAGGTCATTGTAACATCAAATGTATGGTGCACGAAAATTTATTTTTAACAGCATTATAAATAATGTGTTTTTCAACAAGTACGAAAATGATTTAACGGTGTCTTCAAAAGTGCTTATATTATTTGGAAAGTGAAATACTATCAAAAGTGGTACTGAAGTGTGATTAATTTCTTCGGTTCCAAATTAAAGTTGTTTCCATCGAGGAAAACAAGTGAAGATATTGAAAAAATCTGTTTTGATCTTGCATGCTAAATTTTTTTTTTTTTTTTTTTGAGTTTATCTCTCCATCTCCATCATTATAAATAACTTACTCAATAATTGGTTACATTTTGAAATCTGAAAATATAATGCAGCACTACTTTATGAAAATATTCAAATTAAAATGTACAAGGGGTGATCAAATGAAAAGGTATGAAACGACACGGTGGCTACAAATGTAGACTTTATTCAAAATATACACCATAGGCCTGAGCACAATGATCCCATTGATAAACAAGCCGCAGGATTCCTTGTTCCCAGAATTCCTGTGGCTGTGATGACACCCAGTCCTTTACAGCGTCCTTGAATATGTCGTCTGAGTTGAAGCGCTTCCCTTTCAGGTGTTCAGTGGACCAAACACATGGAAATCGCAGAGTGACATGTCCGGACTGTAGGGCAGATGGTCCAACGTCTCCCACTTGAACTTGACCAGTTCCATGTGTGTGACTCTGGAGAATGTGGACGCGCATTATCATGGAGCAGAACCACACCCTCCGTGAGCAGCCCTGGTCTTTTGTTCTTGATGGACCTGCTTAGGCGTCGAAGTGTCTCACAGTACACATCGGAGTTAATTTTTTTTCTGTGCTTGAGGAATTTCACAAGTAGCGGACCTTGAATGTCGGAAAAGACGGTGAGCAACACCTTGCCTTCTGACGGCACAGCTTTGAACTTTTTAGGGGGAGGTGACGATGCATGCTGTCCCACTTTGTCTCTGGCTCATAGTGATGGCACCAGGTCTCATCACCTGTGACGATCCACTCCATGAAAGTGGGGTCTTCCTGATACCGAAACAGATGTTGCAGTGATAACTCCATATGCAGTTCCTTTTGCTGGTCGGTGAGCTGCTTCGGAACCCAAGAGGCACACACCTTCCGATATCGCAACCTGTCGTGAACAACTGTCCACACGGTTGCATAGCTGACATCCACCTTCACTGCCAACATTCGCAATGTGACATGCCTATCACTTCTCACTAGGTCGTCCACCTTGTCGATGAGATCGCTCGTGATGACAGTGATTGCAAGGCCTGGTCTCGGGTCATCACCCACACTCTCACTGCCTGCACAAAATCGGGTACTTCATTTCCTGTCACAGACGTATCAGAGACACATTTCTCCCCGTAAATTGTCACCATCCGGAGATGAATAGCTGCCGGTGTTTCAACCTTCCGCTGTCAGAAATAGGAATAACACCTCGCTGCTTCCTCAGTCTTCGAATTTTGCAACGCAAACGCCAATCCTGTCCTCATACGGACTGCCGCCATTCATTTGGATGCCGCTTTTGATAAGAGGCTTCACTCTGCTCTGCGTATGCGGGCGCCCTGCGCATGCTCCAATCCCAGTCAGAGACTCTAATCACATCCCGAGATGTATTGCTACGTTCTCCCAAGGCAGAATATGCAAATATTCAACTGTTACGTTTTTACGTCATTTCGTACCTTTTCATTTGATCACCCCTTGTATAATTATTTTAAGATTTTATTCAGAGAAGATTGTTAAATTTTATTGTTGTTAGTAATTATAAGTTTTGTTAAAAATGCTAAATTAAGGCTAAGAATTTTGGAATTAATTTGCTAACATGATAAGAATTTTGGAATTATTTCATTAATAAGATTATTGTTTAAAAATTCGAATTTTAACACTATAAGAAACAATTTTGAGAAATTTCTCAAAACAATATTTCTAATAATTTTGAGAATGATTTATATATGAAAATATAAATGAAATAATTATTGAATGGGAGAATATTAAATATTGTTAAAATTAATACAGAAATACCAAAGATTCAAGAAACTGAATAACTGTAATAAAATTTATATGAGAATTGAATTCAATTAAGAGAAAAATGTATTAAAATTTGTTTGGAATTATGGTAAATGAATGTTAGAATTATCAACGATTGTATTATAAATATAAAGCATGCTGAGGGTGATTGGTTCAGAAACAGAGGCCAATTTTACCTCTGCATTAATTGTTCCTTTAACCTCGTATAATATAAACTTTGAAGGCTCCCACTTTGTTTATTATATAGAATTTTTATTTTTTCATATAATGGAGTGTGACTTTGTTTAAATATTGGTATGTTGTAGTGCAGTTCACTAATCACTCATTAAATTTTAATACATGAGCCTGTTTAAAGTGCATTTGCCCAAATAGCTGGATGTATGTACTAGGAGAACGCTGTGGGGTCTTGCAGTTTGTGTAAAATGTCAAAACTGTAGTAATAAAAGTATAAGCCATAATTTCAACAATGCTATTACAAAATGATAAAGTATTACTTATAAATGTGAAAATTATTA